ATTAGTCACATTCGTCCACGTCTTCGCGCGATCAATACTCTTCATCAATCCAGCGTTGCGAGTTCCCATCCACAGCTCATTCGGCTTGAACGGGTTAACCGCGAGTCTCTCGCCATTATTCCGACCCATCTCATTCGAGCCCATCGCGAAGGGCGCAGTGTATCGCGTAAAGGTCGCTCCCCGATCATCAGACACGAAAAACGCAGAGTTATTAGAACTCAGGTACCGGCCCTGCGCTAGATATAAGCGGTTGGGATCAGTCGGATCCATAGCCACGCTTTCCGTCCCGAGCAGGTTGTCGTCCTCGGGGCCAATAAAATCGGTGAGTGGAATCCATTTGTTCAGCCCCTGCTCCCAGCGATAGGTGCCACCGATGTCGGTGCGGGCGTATAGCAGATCCTTTTCAGTCGGGTGGCCCACGATGCCAGTGATGTAACCTCCTCCAGTGATCGCAACGGATTTGAACTCGTAGGCATGTTTGGCGGTGGCTGCCCCGACACTCGTGGCACAGAGGGCCGCTAGCCCTAGCTGTTGTAGCCAGTATTTCATGATGGTGATAGCTCGATCCTCGCCATTGCATTATAGCAGGAGAGACTGCAGCGTATATATGCAACGGATCAATCACTCCGCCGGGAATTGACTCGATGAGATCACCCATATCGCGAACCTTCACGGCTTCCGGTCCGTCTGTCCGGTGCTGGCCTGATCCACGAGGAGAAAGTTGCGGTATCTGCGGCCTAAGCTGTCTCCAAATTAGCTGCTGGAGAAATACGGAGTTCCCCGCAGACTAAATGCCTCCGCATGGGGTGTGCATTGCTGCTATCACGGATATCCGCCGTGATTGGTGGCAAAACTACCTGGAGGATGATATTGCAGCTCAATCCCGGCTAAATGCAGAGAGATGAGATGATATCGATGCCGATCTGGATTGATTTCTCATGCCCTGCTTGAGTTGTGCGGAATTCCCACCGGGTTGGTTCCATTTCCTAAGTTCTTCAAGTCTGTTTACAAACTCTTTCTGGTTAGCGCGGCCATATTGTTCCTCACCTAGCTTCACAGTCCCAAATAAACTGGGCCCTCTCGCCGATTACCATGCCTATCGTCTCTGGTAGAGGGAAGTTTCGAAGGTATCTTCCTGTAGATGCCTGGGCTGAGTAATCTACGTTCTATATCGCAGGGCTACACTCAATTGCTGGTGCAGGTTAAAGAAAAAGCTGAAATATCAAGTTTATCTATCATGCAAACCTCCTGTAACTCCATGCTAAAAGGCAACAATAACGCAAGATCGCGCCATTTTCCGGGTAAAAGTGGATTCAATGAACTCACCAGCTTCCTGCCAGGGCCTGGTTATCGGCCCCATACGTCCTTGACTTGGCACACACTACCAGAATCAGAATGCAACTTCCGACAACCGGGACACCGCTGCCATCGTGACGAGGTGCTGCTCGATGTGCTCGATGTGCTTGAGGATGGCAATCTAGTCATCGGTTGAGCCTGCGTTTTCCGTGGTGCCTTCGTGCCGACGGTAGAAGTCCTAGACTGTACGCGATTAGATCCCGAAGCATTACCTGCACGATTGATCGTCCTACCCGCGTTAGATCCGTCATCCGCTCCACTGCCCGAGCTGGAACTACCGGCTGTCTTTCTCCGGCGCGATGAAGGCGGCGTAGGCGGAAGCTGCACGCCGCCGTCGACGCTATCGTCGCTGCTGTCGTCGGCATCGTCATCATCACCGTCGCCGCCACCAAGTTGGTTATTGATGGCCGACAGGTTCCTGCCTCCCCAGTTAGTCTCCCAGAAGGTCAACCCGGCATACAGCTTGATAAAGCTGTGGAAGTAGGCAAAGACAAAATAGCCCGGCAGCATGGCGAGATCCTGAGGCTCGCGGAGAAAGTACGGCGTTAGTTTGACCATCTTCGTGCAAAAGATCCAGGCCGCGAGATATCTCAGGTTATCAGCGGTTCCGAGCGGGCTTTTGAGCAGGGTATACGCCAACGCACCGTCGTAGAACAGGGCAAAATTGACGAACGAGGTCCAGTACACAGCGTACACACACCAGGGCTGGGTATACCAGACGGTTCTGTCAGTGAACAAGCTGGCCGAGTTACTGCGCCAGGTGGTTCTGACCCAGCGCAAGCACTGAGAGAGGAACTTGGGATACGTACCTAGCGTCGTCTCGATCATTGCGTCGGGGCAGTACTGGATCTTGACCTTCCAACCGTGTCGGACATCCCAGCGGGTGATGAAGTTGTCATCGTCGGCGTTCAGGGGACCAAACAACCCGAAGAAGAATCTCTCGTTCGTGAATCCGGCGATGAACTCGGGATCTTTGAGGATCTCAGACCGATGCGCAGATGTGCGGCCAGAAACGACAAATACGCCATTATCAATCGCGTTAGTGGCACGGATCTCAAAGTTGTGTCGTTCCAGGTATAGCGCACCAAGCATATTCCAGAATGATCTGATGTTGAATCCCGTGTCCGTACGGCGGACCCGCTTGTTCGTTCCGACGATGCCAACCTTCGGGTCTTCGAACGGCGCAAGGATGGCCGGGAGGAAGCGTTCCGTGGGCCAGAAGACGTGGTCGTCGAGCAGGACCGTGATCTTGGTCTTCACGTATCGAAGGCCGTGCGCGACCTGTCGGCGCTTGTTCGCTTCGTCGGCAGTCTTGACGGAGATTTCGGTATTCGGGAATCTCCGCTTGTAGGGGGCGATAATGTCTTTGGTCAGTTTCGTCAGTTGGTCTCCAACAGTAACAATGATGATTGCACCTGGATTGTTCCGAAGGCATGAGGTGATACACTCTCCAAAGTCTCTGTTCTCGGGGTCAACGGTGGGGAGGATGATTGTGCAGTCAGACGGGAATAGGGTAGGGTTTCTGGGGACAGGGGTAGGATGGTAGAAGAGCCAGAAGGAGATGAGATGGACGATAAGACGGAAATACCGGAAGACGAACAGATGGAGAAAAATTACCGTCATTCGGTCGTAGAGAACGTCATCTCTTCGAAGGTCTGCGGGTAGAATGCCAGCTACCCGGGAGGCTATTTCCGTGTGTATGTCGTGAAGGGTCCGGCCGCTCGATTGCATGAAGTATGCGGCTCCTGCTGCTGCTATCATAAACAGCCGAGGGTGAGCGATTACCCAAGGTAATGTGATAAAGGCAAGGAGTCCGTACATTGTGTTGAAGCGTTGGTTGGGAAGTCTGTGTAAGGGGCGAGATGTGTTGCTTCAACTTGGTGTAGTTGATGGTGTTGACGAAGCTGTAGTCTAGGATTTTTCGCGATATTTGAATCCAGCAGAGGAACAAAGAGACACCAAGTGAACCAAGTGAGAGAGACAATATTCACAGTTATGAAGGCCATTGTGAAAGGCAGTCTCTGACGGACCCATGGTGAAGTGAGATGTTTCTCTACAGAACAAAGCCATTGGAGAGAAAGGGAGTTTCTTATAAGTCTTTTGCAAGCACATTATGAAGGTCAACAGTCCAGAGACAGAGAGTCGACAATGAAACATCTTAGACAATGCATTATGTTCTTTGTTCAGTCATGTTAAAGAGAGAGGGAAACACAACTGAGGAACGAATGAAGATATGTCTTTCAAAAACCTCACATGCCGAAAAGAAGAGGTCTCAGGCCGCTTTGTCAAAACAACGCAAGGATTCGGGCTACCCGTGGTAGGATTTACACTGATCACTTTCTTTCTTCCAAGAGGAGCACTCTGATACTATTCAAGTCAAAGAGCCAGTGAGTGACATTCAGCACAAGACCCGAAAGTGAGGATATGGGCTGAGAGTCAATCGATACATTCTGTATCGGCACTGTCAATTGACACTGATGATCTAAACTTCACAGTTTGATCACATTGGAAGAAACTCCCAGGAATAGTCATTGTAAGAAGATCTCGGGCATACGAGTGTGTCATATCTGCGCTTGATGATCCGCAAACGGCTTCGATGGCTCAAGGTCCAGACGAATTATATACACTGGAAAAAGACCGTGAAGCTCATCTCTAGAGCTTGTGCCCCGCCGATAGTAATCACTTCCTCCAAGCTATATGCCCGCGGATTCGCGAGGGAGGAACTAGAATACGATGAGAAGTAATACTGGAAGTGGGCAATTGTGAGAATGCAGCCAGTTTGTCAACTGGTACTTAGCCAGAGACATGGTAGCGGGCGGACTTCATCCAAGCACAGCAGTTTTCTATCTAGGTCTCCGTGAGCAAGATAAACTACACGCAAAAGCCAATATCGTACATGATCACCCAGAACACTGGGATGGCGGTCGAAGAAAGAGAGACACTCATGTTCGGCTTGGGCTAGATAGAGCACGGATACACTAATCCTCCTAATAGCTAGCGCTGCAGCACTGGGACAGCGAGCGTCGGACACAAAAGCGTCATTGTTGGATAGGTTTGAGATTCGGTGTGGACATTGCAATACTGTCTGTGAAGACTCAAAATAGGTGCATACGGGAGTGCAAAGAAGTTCACCCACGGGGAAACCTTTTTGTGTAGTGGCTCAATCCTAATGGCATATGAGACATTGTATATGCCAGCACCACTCGTGTCTCCATGTATGGTGAAGCGGCTAGAATCCCTCCGGACGCCGACTCTGGTAACGAAAAGACCGCACAGGGGCGCCGTAAAAAGAGAAGGGAAGACTCCTCTCGTTCCGTAAGACGATGGATTTAGTTGCAGGCGTATGCAAGACGAGCATCCAGGTTGTCTCACGATAATCGAGCCGCTTGAAGAAGGACTTTGCAAGGCTTCACATACAATATATATGAAGTGATAGAATCCCCTCCACAGATTGGAGTAGACCCAGATACTCGCCGAGTCCATCAGCGCTGTCCATTGCTCTGTGCAATTGAGATGCGCCGCACCAGGTTGCCGAGATTCAGATCCCAATGCCGAGGGTATCATCAGAGCTGCAGCACTTACAAAATTTCTATGAGCCTTGAGCTTCTTCCTATACTCATCGATGGTGGGGACACATTGCAAACATGGGGGGCAAAGTAGTGCAGGACGCGGCACTACATAGCTTGACGGAAGTGGCACCACAACTACAGTTGGAGGAGCTAACCACCAGACAACAACAGGGCGTCTACTTCATCATCCCCGATGAACATATCGACAAAGCAGGCGACCTCCTGGTGGAAGCCGGACTTCCTCCCTGCCAGCTGGGGAAGTATTGCGGCTTCGACTGGCCCAAGTCTATCCATGGAATTCCCTACGCGCACTTCAATATTATAGACCTTGGTCCCTTGAATTACTACAAACCCGAGCAATATGGTCCAAATCCCCGCAAATGGTATACGCTGGAACTTACAAGAAGTCCGAGATGCTGTGGGGAGCGCCCGAAATCCCACTCGGCCCACCTCCCGTGAACGACCCAGACTACTGGACGATCAATGATGAGCGTCTTCCAGAAGTCCACAGGGGATTCTCTCTAGGCCGCGTTGTTGACGCGAATTATCCGGTCAAGATCCCCTCGCCAGCGCGCTACGCTGAGATGCTGACCCTCCTGTTCTTCCGGGACAATTTCCCAGAAGAGACTTTCAGAGGGAGCCACTGGCGTTATTTGCTGTGGGACATGCTGACAGTACTGGAGAAGCACCGCCTCTTCGAACTGAGGGACCTTCCGCCTCGTACTCGAAGCTGGTTCAAAATTCTGCTCGAACCCACATGGGAAAGAGCGCATGGGGATGCCGAGGACATATTTGGGGAGGAGATGAGGAAGTCGGGCGAGGTGCCCGAAAAAAGTCCCTGGCCGTCGGCGCATAGGATGCCGCCTGGATGGCGTGAGGAGCTTAAACAGTGAGAAGAGGAGGAAGAGCAGAGGAAAAAGAAGAAGGAGGAGGAAGAGCAGATGAGGAAGAAAGAAGAAGAGGTGAAAGAGGAGCAGAATGTGCGATGGAACAATGGGTGGGCTTTGCAGCTGTTTCTTGTTTGTCCTTTACTCATTTACTTATTGTTGCTGATTGCTATATTCTGAGTATATGTATGTTCAGCTTGCTTATTATTTAAGTCAATCAATAATGTTGCCATACCTTGTTCTGTGATGTTAGGAGAAGTTTCATCTGAGACTAATTCCAGTGATTGTGGCATAATGAATGCTTTCAGTTAATAATATCTTGTATCAGGGGGTCTCACAACACTACCCCCATGTCTGCTATAACAAAGATAAACTGTATACTCCATGTGATGTTAATAAAGGATTAAAAAGAAAAGATCTTTGTGTATCGGCTGCTCCATGTATATCCTTAACCTTATTTCAAGATGAACATCTATTGCAAGATGCAGTGGTTCTTAAACCAGATGATGACCATAAATAACCGGTCCATTGCCTGCTTCACAGGCTCAGTCAGTATCAACTTCGTTTCATCAATCTCTGCGACTTCCTTTACAACCAGTATCCGAAAACCAACAACTCTCAAGATGAACATAACTTGCTTGCCTGACGATCTCCGTGATGCCGCACTCAAAACTGCAGCAGAGACGCTCATTCAGTGTCTCCAGGCAATGCCAGAACTGCAGGGAGCTAAGGTTGCAATTGTCGGTGGGATGGCAGTCCAAAATTATTTGACAGGCTACCGGCGAACCTATGTGAGTGGGACTGAAGAACCAGATCTACCAACTCGTGCTGACGAGAGCATGCATCCTGGTGCAGGATGTGGATGTTTTGCTCTTCAGACCTGACCGTCCCATTGACTACCAATTGATGCGCAAGGAGCTGGTCTCCCTGTCTCAGGTTTGTTCAAGGGGCGCGCAGAGCCTCTATTTTTCAAGTACAAACCTACGGATGAGCTTAAGCACAAACGGAAGCCCAAATATTCGTACTTTGTGCAGGTGGACATTATTCCAGAATATTTGGTACATTTGCGTGCCCTGGTCAGATCGATCAAGTCAGACTAACGTGATTGATGACAGCCACCGTACCTACCTGCGCAGGCAATGACGCTGGAAGACGTGGACATAGGCCATCTGCCTTTTCTGGACCCATTGGACCTTCTTGCCTGCAAGGTCCACTGCTCAAGCATGCGTTCCTCTCTCAGAAAACGAAAACAGGACGCCGACGACGCAGTGAAGCTCTGCGAAACTTATTACGGCCAAGAGTATGTTCCGCCGAGCAAAGAACAGAGAGACGCCATCGCTTCGGGGGTGGATCTGATGGCTGAGTTTTCCAGGCGGTCTCACTGGAGGAAGTGGAGGCTGAGACAATGGGTAAAATCTGTGAGAGGCGCAGCCTGCGGGTGGGTTCAATGTATAAATATATAGTATAGCTGCTGGACAGAGACTGATATAAATAAATCTTACTAAAGATAGCCCATTCGCCAGTGTCAACAAAGCATTTCAATGTATGAGAGATCCATAAATACAGACTTCTCAATTGCAAATAAGACAATGCACTGATTGAACCTGAGCAACTGCAAAATGCAGCGGCGTTAGTTACACCCTGGATCCATCGATCGTTGAACTCACACTCGCCCCACAGTCCACCAGCAACTGAGCAATTTCAATCTCATCTAAGAGGCGGTAGTTTGCAATAGCATGTTGCCATGGTTGCCCGTCAGACGGGTGTGGCTGCACCACAAGCATGAGCAAACGAAGGAGTCTATGCTTTCCCAGCCATGCTGCGCTTTCCACCAGGACAGTAGAGACAGCAGCGATCAGGAGTATGGACTTGCAGAAGTGTGCATAGCAGAATTTTGTAGCTGTATGTCTTGATGTAGCTCAGTAGCTGGCCTGTTTGTCAGCCTGTCAAAGCATTATTTGACCACAAGCAGAAACAGAGCCCATGTAGCAGCTGCAGTGAATTATTCACCGGGAAATCAGGTGTGTGCGAGACTCCTATCAGGCGTTCTACATGACTCTCAAGCAAACTTCCAAGTATACAGGGAGCAGGGAATGCTGCTGGAGCTTCATTGGATGTATTCAGGAACATGGAATGGGATGTTGGTCAGTTTTCTCAAGCATGATCTCAATAATAATACAGAATTTACGTAGTTATCTACATATAGAAAGACATATGGGGGAACCCACTAATGGTACAACATATTTGTAATATATATATGTATAGTGGGATTCAATATCCCTCCTACATGACAATTCAAGATTCAACGCTAGGGATTCGATATCCATACTATATGAGTGACCTGATAATATCCATAATTTAATGATTAATATCCTAATATATGGTGACTCGATATCAATACCATGGTATTTGTTATCAAAGTTATTTAGTGTTCCCTACGTATGCTAAAATTTCAATGTGTTCCTTTTGTAATGCTTTCAGGGACGCCTCTTTCTGTAGGCTGGAGTTCTTTTCACAGGCCAGGAACCCTGGTCGCCTTCTTGATATCTTTCATAGCTGCACTTCCAAGGATGTAATTGCTATCAAGTTTTACCTTTATACACATTAGAGGAAAATCTATATCTAATGCAAAAAAATATGGTACATGTCTATAACATCCTGTCCTAAGGACATATATATTCAACGCCCAGTGTATCTCGACCGTTGATCGCAGTCTATGCAAAAGCAGGGAGTTTCATCTTCTCCATGTAATCATCTAACAGCCTCTCCTCCTGGTCCACAAACGGTTGAACCATTTCCTTCCCTTTGCGAATCTCCTGCAGCAATTGTTCACACTCACTGTTGTCATCCCAAGCGCGGCCAGACTTGACCTCTTTGCGCTGAGTGATCGATCCATTCTGGCTCGTAGTGCCATTAGCAGCACCATTCCCCGCAGGCGCATTCAAAGGCCTATACCCAGCCGCCTCAAACGCATCATTAGGAGGAACAGTGTACCTGCCCTTCTTGAGCACATACTTGCTGATCGAAACAGCAAGCAGCCTCTTCCTTCGAACTTCCTCCGTATCGGCCGACGCCTTTTTTCCCTTGCGCGGCTGCAAGAAATAGGTAACAATATATATCCACTTCTCATCATAGGAGGCGATATGCGACTGAACCTCGTACTTCATGTAGGCTGGAATCTCGCGCTTGAAGCTCGTGTAGACACCGCCAAGAACGAAGTGGAGTGGGCCGCGCTTGCCTTGCTTCTGGAGGCGCTTCTCGAGGAATGCGGAGCCCTTCATTACCAGGGAACACATGAGGGCTGTTCGGGAGACGTCCAGATCGGAGAAGTATGTCGAGTTTGACTTGTGCATATTCATGTCGATTTCCATGATTGGGGCGCGGGTGAAGATGCTTTTCGGTTTTAGGATGTCGCTGCTGGGCTTTGGCGATTGCTCGACGGCGGGGGTCATGAGGTAGCCATGTTGGAAGAAGTAGCGGTAGACGCGGATCTGGTTGTTTTTAGTATACGCAGAAACAAGAGGAGGGTGAGTATCTTACATGCCACACGAAAGGCAGGGTTTTGAGATTTAGCAATGCGAACGCGATAGCAAGGGCTTTCCAGAAGGAGAGAGACTGCCAGAGCGAGCTGGCTAATGATAATATGGATTCCATTGTTGTATTACTCCCTCCGCCGATTCCACTTCAATATGAAAATGCGCAGAACACAGACAGAAGAGCAAGGGAGAAGAGGAAAGAAGATATCCTCAATGATGTGAATTTTCCTTGACCCATATCTTATCCGATTAGTGATCTTGAATTCTAGAAAAATCCCAGCGAAACTGCCAATTCAACCAATCATGGATGTGTTGGGAAGATGTTGAACATACCTCGGCTCGGGGTCAGCCCAAAACAGTAACAAGTCCGCCCCTTCGTGCCCGCCGGCGCCAAGACATCGGAATCGGGATGATACACTTCCGCCGAGATTCTTCCGGCGGCGGAATTGCACCACACGGATAGTTAGTGGCAGACCTCAGTATCTTACTAAACAAAGATGGTTTCATTTCCCCTCCTTTCTATGGGACGTAGATGCGGAAAGTAACGATGCAGCTATGGCCTTCTGACTCTTTAGTCACTTCTAGTTCACGCAATATGTTTGCAACTACAAAATAGGAGCATGTTATAAAGCTGAACAGCAGTGTATAACTACACATACAGAGTACAGAGACATGCTCCTTCAAGTGTCCTCTTTCCAGCTTGGTATATATTTCTCCCACCGTGAAAAGTGTGAAGGATTGATTCTACTGTAAAGAGCTCTTTTTAAGTATGGATAAGATAAGCACAAATTTGGATTGGAAGATCTGATGGAAGAAATATTACCAGGGGACTATGTAATCAAGATGCAAGATAGTTGTGTACCAGATTAGAAGAAGTTGCCCTAATAAATAGCTATATAATTCAACTAGTATATACCCTAATTAATGACGCTGGTGGTTGAAAAGGTTCAAGGTATGATAATTTGCGGCGAAAATTCGCACTGCAGCCCGTATTCGCCGCTCGGCCGTGGATTATGCTAAGGTGACCTATAACCTAGTTGACTATAATCCGGCTATATTCTATTTTCGTTACTAGGCACCTTTTTAGGAGTGGAGATTCATTGACGCTAACAAAATGAAGGCCACCAAAAAGTCCTGATTTTCATTTTAGCCTCTTAAAGGAATCCTTGAACAGAAGCCTACTTAGTTTATCAACCGCACCGTGCGTTCGGGGCCGGTCGACGAATAAGGAATGTATCCTTTATGGCCACATTGTTTCCCATTTCTAGTTTGATACAACTACCTTGCCGTCTCCTCAGAAAGTAATAAATACAAGCATGGATAAGGCATGGTGACGTGTCCATGGAAGCGAGGCTGAGGGAGCCTTTCAATGCGGGGAAGGTTGTCAGCCTGACAATTACCATTTTCACTCACCTCCACTCTCCTTCTGAACCTCTCCAGAGCTCAAGTTCATGCGGAGAATCGCTTTCTGTTCCGACCACAGAGATTCTATTCATTTGGTCGAGAATTCAGCAGCTGGTGGTGAAGGGGAAAAATGGAACCCGATAAAATGGAATATGATTTTATAAAGCTTCCTATGTCTTCAAGTCTGGAGAGCGTTCCTTCCGGCGCCGAGCCGCCACAAAAACAAGACCATCCTACTGAAGTTGAAATAGAACGGCGGAAATTAGCGGCGGTGGCAAGGGGAGAAATATACCCTCCTCCTCGCAAATCTCAACCCCCTGGTTCTCTTCCTGAGACTCAATCTTTACTTCCTCGACATAACCCAAGGGGCAATGATAGGGATATCGAAAAAAGCTATCTAAAAACCCAGAAATATCTTGAATATCGTGCCCGGCCAAGACGGGACACAGGAAAGGATGGAGAACCTGTTTGGTCTGATGAATTGGAAGATGCTTTCCAGCAAGGTATACTCACCATGTTATTTGCCATGAGCGTAAAGGTCCAGGCTGATAATATGAAGCACTGGAGGCAAACCCGCCTATGAGCAGAAGGAAATGGAGCGAACGGGGGAAATCCTATGGTCGAAACGAGTTGATCGCTGAATACATCTACAGGGTTACTGGCAAGAAACGCACAAGAAAGCAAATATCAAGTCATTTGCAAGTACTTGATTCGTTCCTGAAAGGAGAGCCCTCATGTAGGCATGTTCATTGCTAAAGACTATGGAACCAAGCGGACTAAAACAACCTCCAGGGGAGAGACTCGTTCGAGAGAAACCATCCCAGCCAGTAGAGAATACAATCAAAACTAGAAGCGCTGCTTGGGGCGCTTCTTCGGATTTTTCATCCGGCCTTGGAAGCGAAACTGCCTCAATGGCCGACTTACATAATTGGGGCTACGATCTGGAGATTGCACAAGCATTGTTGGGCGATTTTCGCACCGGGATAACCGACCCTGAGATAATAGAGAGAATCTCTAATGTCCTACCAGAATTACTCAAAGCTTTTGCCCTCAAGATTGGAAATCCGGGCATTTTTCAAATTGACCAAGATACGATGGTATTCATAGACACTCACAGCGAGTAGGCTTCTTTCCTTGGAAATTTCTATACAGGAACTTTACTGACTGCATGGTAATGCAGGTCTATAGCGCAAGCCTTCAGAGGAGGCTTCCTAAAGAAAATTGCAGTCTACGACCCCACTGTCAAGCAAGAAGAGCCCATCTCTCAAGAACAGTTTGTTAAAAGTGGGCTCAAGAGCCTGGATAAGGGACACAATATCACAGCTACAAACGCAGAGGAACATGTAAAAGTGAAAGGACGTAAAGAATCAAAGGAACCCATCTTCTATCGGATTACTGACTTCCGAGAGTACATTTTGCAGACTCCTGCGTATAAATGGCTCATGGAAACTTTGCATAGAGAAATCGTGCTCACTTGCGAAGATTCACCAGTTATGGAGAATATTCGGCAACAAATCATTGACTACTTCCCGAAATCAGACCCAATCGACAAATTTCAGCCATCACGGGCTTACAGGGCTATCTTCGAGATGGATTGGAATATCTCGACTTTTATCAACGAACAGGGTTATCCAGGACCAGCAAATGAGGTTATAGACGCGGCCATCACTCTGACTGGCTCTCTGCACAACGCGCTAGCGCTGCCATGTGCTGCATACATGCGGCAGACTTGGCCATTGACTGGAGGGAAAATCATACATTTGATCCAAGACACTCTGGCCAGTAAGGACAACAACATCCACCTTTGTATGTCTGTCTTGAGACCATTATATAGGCACTGTGTGACTCAGCTAATGTCTTCGTATCTAGGTACATTATACGATGGGACAAAACTAATGGCAAAAATGAAAGAAGATTATCTGCGAGTTCAGACCCATGGGACGGCTTGGTCGGTTGCTGAGATTGGCGAACAGCTTGCTTGGCTTGGGGCAGCTCTTCACTCTAGTCGAACGGAAACCGCGCTCTCCATCTGCACACCTTATATTAAAGTCGATTATGAATATCCATCCGATATCCTCGTCAGTATTGGTTTTGTCCTTGAGGAACAGGAAGCACAAGCTGAAATATTACCCATTGGGCGTTGCTGGCAAAAGCTCTTCAAAAATCCGGTTATCGTAAAAGGATACCCTATCCCGCGCAGGCCCAGTGCTCATAATACTGGACTCGAAGTTCCTCTCAATATCATGGCAGAGCTCGGACAGGCACAATATGCCTCTTTCTTTGATGGGAAAGTCTTTATCAAGGGGTTCTGCACGATAATGGTACCGACCAGGGTTGTTGGGGACATGGAAATGGTGATTTGGCATGTGTTGATTAATGAAGACGGATCCCATATATCCTTTTCGGACTCAAAGGTTTCGAGTATTCCAGGATTGTATCCGGAAGCGCTTAAAATATCTGGTCTTAAGGATGCCCGGCATGTCGTTGGTTGGTGTGCAGACGTTACGAACTTTGCTGGTTTGACACCCAGCCCCAAGTATAAGAAAGGTGTATGCTAACGCGTTTCTAATAGGCTCTGCGTTTGCAGAGTACGGTATTGGTTGGTCAGGACTAGGAAAACCGCCCACTGGCTCTGACTTTGAGAGTGTCTCCATACTCCGTGGAAGCTTCATCCTGAATGGTATGAAAGCCGTGTTTGGCAGGAAGGATAGAGCACATCACATAGTACGCGAAGGCTACTTAGAGCGACTGAGATGGATATCAAAAAAATTCGTTGTATTATTCGACGTGGCCGATAAACGCGCTTGGCTTGTCGATGGGGCTAGCGCATTACTTCATCTCGCTCGAGCGTCTTTGCAATATGACGATATGGATGAGTTTCAAGATGAGCTCCTTTTTAGACGGGAGCAATTTCAAGAAGTGCCGATAAACACCACCACGGCTCGCTCAGCAGCGACATGGTTTCTTAGAAACCCGATTAACCAGAACGTCAAGCTATATGTCAAGAATTACGACCCAGGGTTCGAAGAACCGGTAAAGCAAACAACCTCTTTTTCCCTGTTCAAGGACCGAGTGGAGCAAATATTCCATATCCTGGAACAGATAGTGTCACATCAAGAACAAGTGAACACAGAAAGAGACATTGGACTCCGCACAACCAAATCGCCTCATGTGCTTGAGGGTTTTGATTTTATGGACGTAGCCGCGGATGAGGATGCAGTGTCAGCTCGCTCTGTTGCCATTGGGCCTGAAAGCGCAGGCTGGATAGAGCTTGTGCAGTCTATCCACGCAATTGTACTTTTCGGCGAGGGCTTTGGGGATCTCATCAGGCCGAGGAAGCCAGGTCAGCCTTGCCCTGCATGGTCTGACGTACCCAAAGGCCTGCACTGTCTTGGCGTTTGTGTTTCTGATATCAAGGAAATATTGAAGAAAATAGGAAACATCAGGGAAACACCCTGGCGATTTCTAGAGAAGTTTGTCTGGTGCACGCCAGATAAATGCTTTGAAGCGTGTCAATGTCTCGACATGGCTATGTCAGTCCACTGCGATCGAGTTCAAACTTTGCTTCCCATCGGTTCACTCAATCATGGCAGTCCAACTTATAATAGCCCCTCTCACCTAGAGGAGAATGGAGCGGTCATATTTGKGCCGAGCTCTATTGGTTTCACTCGCCAAGTTTACCAAACAGACTCACCATTACAGCCTGAGGGTATCTTTAGTCCATCAGTTGATAGCGGCATTGGAGAGAGCCAGAGCTCTTCATCGAAGGAATGTAAAAGTGGAGATGATGGTATTGCCGGGTGCAAGAGAAGACGTCTCGAAGAAATCGGAACGCAGCGAGCGAAACATCACCGCTCAAGATTTCGTCCTGAGGTTGATTCTGTTCCAATTTTGGAAGAGCTAGGCGCTCCTTCGCTGACACTTAATCCTCTACTCAACGGCAAATTGCCTATGCAGTCATGTGGTTTCGAGCTGGAACATGAAAATTCAAGGATTACTCGCCGACCAACTCTTTGCAAATCTCCTTTCTCAGCGGCGTTATCCAGGCATGGCACCAAAGGAAATGAGATACCAAAGCTCCTATCGTTGACTATATACACTGCTGGATGGCTGTGCGCCATAAGGTCCGAGTATGAATCAGCTTTACGCATGCTGGATGAATTTCACGACAGGGGATACGGCCATGGGTCAGACCATAACCTTTACACCCTTGGTCGAATCGGTGCCCACAATGTCGTTCTTACATGTCTTCCATTGGGACGATACGGTAATAATGCCGCAGCAGTAGCCGCTACCAGAATGATGAGCAGATTCCCTGCAATCCAGATCGGCTTGATGGTTGGGATTGGGGGTGGAGTTCCGAGTCGACGAGAAGATATTCGTCTTGGGGATGTTGTCATAAGCAAGCCAACAAAACACCATGGGGGCGTGGTGCAGTACGATATGGGCAAGTTTGCTGTACATGGATTTCAACCCACAGGTTATCTCAATCCTCCGCCAGAGAAGCTCTTGAATGCCCTCAACCTAATGCCTCCGCATGGAGCGCTACTGGGGGATTCCCTCGACCTCCTAAGCTCCTACCCCGGCGAGGAATGGGATTGTCTGTACATTTCCACCTATAAGCATGAGCAAAATGCTGACAATGAGTCCTGCCAGATGTGTAATAAAGAGCAACTAATCCCCCGAGATCCCGGTAATCGTGGGGTACTCGGACCACGCGTATTCTATGGGACAATTGCATCTGGGAATGCAGTCATCAAAGATGCTGTTGTCAGAGAGAGGTTATTGCAGAGTGATGATTTTCTTTGCTTTGAAATGGAAGCTGCAGGAGTTATGAATAGCAGTTTCCCTTGTGTTGTTATCCGAGGGATATCAGACTATGCTGATTCCCATAAGCATGATATGTGGCATGACTATGCTGCACTCACTGCAGCCAAATATGCTCGAAACCTTCTGCTTGCTATGCCAGGAGAAATCATTCGTCCTTAACCTGATGAGAAAGATGCGTTTCTTGATATGGACTTCACGTGTTAATTATTTGAAAACAAGCCAAATCAGGCTAAGCGTCTAGAATATACACAGTCTGATAGAATAACTGAGTATCTCAAACAATGCAGGGGAATGCCTTGGTGAGCGGTCTGAGGTCGGCAATTGAAGATTCCCATTGGTTACGGTCGGCTACTGCCAGTGGATTTTGGCTTCCAACAAAGATTCCAAAACGCTATTAAACCCCTCAGTCTGGTCCAGCCTAGGCAATAATCAAAGCACTCGCCATATGAGTAGCCCCAGCCAGGTTGCTGACTTCTCTCACCCAATACTGCACTGGAACAACCTACGCTTGGAGCACAACCATACACCACGTCATTCACAATGGTCAGCGCCCAGGTTGATTTCGTTAAACATCAGGAAGAGTTTGACGCAATATTGGGCTCCAATTCCCCAGAATCACACGTTTCGATACTCGCAGATGAGAGTCCTGAAAGATTGCCTCTTTATCATGAAGCTTGCGTCTATCATCCACCAACACGCAGCATTTTCGTGACCTCAAACCAGATGCCAAATCCTTCTCACCAACAGAATCTAGCAACAGGCGACAAGCATATTAAGCTCACCCGGGTTTATGATACGTACCCAGGTTCGACGGAATCAAATGTCGCCAAAACTGAGGATATCACATTTCCATATATCGACGGTGCCATGCTGAATGGCGGTGTCAATTTGGGTCCTGATCACATCCTCTTCTGTGCTCAGGGATCAAAAGACCTGAGTGATCCATCAGGTATCATAAAGGTGGCGGTTCCATCTGAGGGCAGCGGCGACACTACATCAGAAGTTGTGATTAGCTCTTTCCACGGCATTCCCTTCAACTCAGCCAACGACGTGGTCGTACATCCTCTTGACTCCTCTATCTGGTTTACAGATCCTCAGTATGGCTTCCACCAGGGCATTAGACTTCAACCGCAGCTCCCAAATCAAGTCTACCGTTATGATCCCAGTAACAGATCAGTTCGCGCCGTCGCGGACGGCTTCATACGGCCTAACGGCCTCTGCTTCTCACCTGGCCTCGACATATTATATGTGTCAGATACAGGTGCGATCCATGGCTCACCATCAGTGCCATTCAATCCGGCAGGGCCCTCTCATATCTATGCCTTTGATATTGTCTACCCTGGAGAGCGGACCGAACCGCAGTTGGTAAACCGGCGTGTATTCGCGTATGCCCCCGGAAAGGTACCCGACGGAATCAAATGTGATACCTATGGTAATGTCTATGCTGGATGCGCGGATGGAATTGAAGTGTGGAATTCTAGTGGTGTCCTTATCGGCACGATTAGAATCCCAGGCGGAGTCGCGAATTTCTGCTTCGGAGAGAATGGAGTCATATATGCTTGCAACGAGACCAGATTGCTCAGAATACATTTGCGCGGAGGTGTCAGAGGCGCTCTTTTAGGTATATGAGATAAATAGGCAATCATACAGTCGACATTCTAACGGAAATAATCCATACCCGACGGCAAATGTAGTAGACTTGGTTCAAAAACATGGAGGTGCCACACTGAGTTCATAAAGTCTTCATGATTCATCATGCAAAATTGGTCATAACAGGAAGAAAGTAGCTTCACAACAAAACAGGGCGGATTATGTAGTGCTGAAAGCATTTAGACCAATGACCAACCAGTCTCGTGCGCTTACAACTCTATTCAGAGGCGTCTTTCCGACAAGTGCGGCATTGTTCGACGTCCTGAATGATTTACCCCAGATCTCTCATTTTCCGCCTTAAAGCCAGGATAATCCCAATTGCTTGTACAAGTCGCTTCACGGTCGTCATCAATGAGACTGCGCCAGTCCGTTCATAGTCCTTGACGAAGGAAACTGACTTGGACCAGGCGCTTTTCGATTTTAACAACCGACCTGGTGTGAACCATAGCACGGTCATGGGCCGGTCGATGCCACGACATTAAAATAGGTACGACACGCTTCCTCCGACGCTGAGATTTTATAGTTGTAGCGCGGACAAAGATGGTTCGTCACTTCCTATGTAGGTCTAGGCCCAAAGAAACAGTTACAGCTTATTTCCCATGTTGACATGTACGGCCTTGATCCGAGTATAGGCGGCCAGACCAGCTTCACCAAGCTCCCGCCCAATGCCGCTCTGTTTGACACCCCCAAATGGCACACGGGGATCACAGTCTTGACTACTGTTGATCCAGACCATCCCCGAGTCAATCTCTGCGGCAACCCTATGCGCCCGTTCCAGATCCTTTGTGAACACGGCTGCCCCAAGACCATAGATGGTATCGTTGGCCCGGCGGATGGCTTCTTCTTCCGTTGCGAATGGTTCGATAATCACCACCGGCCCGAAGACCTCTTCGCGCACGATAGCCATAGAGTCTGTGGTGCCTGTGAAAACAGTAGGCTGGACAAAATATCCATCTTTGTTTCTGTCTCCGCTGGGGATATAGGCAGCTCCACCGACGACCACGTTGGCACCGTCTTTCTTCGCCATCTCAATATGCGAGAGGATACGCTCATACTGGGTTCGCGTCACCTGTGGACCCTGAAACGTAGATTCATCCCACTGGTCACCGATCTTGGACGTGGTTTCGACCGCCTGTTTGAATTTCTCTAGGAAGGAAGGGAAGACGTCCTGGTGGACGTAGATGCGGGAAGTAGCCGTGCAGATCTGGCCTTGGTTTGACATGATGCCGAAATGCGACCATTTCACGGCTTGCTCCATGTCAGCGTCTGGGAATACGAGCAGTGGAGACTTTCCACCAGTCTCGAGGGTGATATCTTTCAACGTTCCCGCGGCCATCTTCATGATCTCTCTTGCTGTTTGTGTTGATCCCGTGAAAGCGATCTTATCAACTAGCGGATGAGATGCCAGCGCGGCACCAGCTTCTCTCCCGTATCCATTAACAATATTCACGACCCCGGGAGGGAATCCAGCCTCCTTGATCAGCTCCGCAAACACAAGCGCGCTGAGAGGTGTCTGCTCAGCGGGTTTCAGGACGACTGTGTTCCCACAAGCTAATGCAGGGCCGAGTTTCCAGGTAGCCATGGACAAGGGGTAGTTCCACGGGATGATCTGTCCAACGACGCCTATTGGCTGACGAATTGTATACGCGAACTTGTTAGATGTCGTGCTAATGGTCTGACCCGCGATCTTATCAGCCCAGCCACTATAGTAACGGATGGTCGTAATGGCCTCGGTGAGGTCCTCTTCCAGGGCTACATGGTATGGTTTCCCTATTTCGGTCAGATGCGGTTCAACACTTTGGAAGGGCGGCATACCATTGTCCCATGCATCGATCGAGGCAAGCAACTCCCGCTTTTGCTCCATCAGATCGGCCAGCTTGGCCAGCAGTATCCCTCGGTCGGTAGGGGGAAGCTGTTTCCAGGAGGGATGTACCAGCGCAGTCCGGGCGGCCTTCACGGCTCGATCTACATCTTCGGCGCTGGCTGCGTGAACTGTGGCGATGGGTTTATCGGTGCTGCACATATGCATTAGTGAAATTGACTGAGATGAGTGCGCTCAAATGGAATGCTCCAGGCATACGCAGGGTCAATTGAAGTGATAGTTTGCCCGCTCGACCCCGGGACAAACGAGTTGCCAATGAAGAGGCCAGTCGGCTGTCGGTAAGCGTGATTATTCGGGGTCGTAATATCGACAAAGAGGTCTGCCATGGTTATGATTGTCCGTATGTGTGTAATTGTATAATCGACGATGAGATTCAGAGTTTATGGCCACTGAGATGATTCTAATATAGGCCTTGTAGATCTCAATCTAGTCTGGTATCTGATGCAGAGAAAGACCTTAGGTTTCTGCGGATCGACATGCCTAATGTGATGCCAGATGCAAGGGTGGACCTGTACAATTGCAATTCCTTTCGGGAAGGTCCTTCCGAACTCGAGTGTCCTGCATTCTGATTGGTCATTGAGAATCCATGAGCGACAATCAGACTTCGCGGGTCAGTATTTGTGCATGATTCGAGGCATTTGCGTTGTTACCCTGGATATGAACTGCAGCAAAGTCCGGAGGGACCTATGTAAGTCAATATACAATTTACTCTAGCAAGGCTAATCGGGAGTAATAGACCCGAAACTGTGACAACGGAAACATAGCTAAAGACACATTGAATAAAGGAGTCAAAAAATGGTGTGATATGAGAAGTCGCCTATTCTGATGAAGTGACTACAAGTATCGCTAGAAGACAATGCTAGGAATGCTTAATGACGCCGCCGACTTGCCCTACAGCCTCGACAACTGTCCATTCGATCTCAGAACGGACAGATAGCTCTCGTTAATGTCACTAATAGACGTGCAGCTGCGATTGTCAGTCAAAGGTATAAACAAGGCAGTATAGGACTCACCCTGCAAGAGCCATGGTAATCTTCAGTTCTTGCCGCAGAATCCTGATTGCCAACTCGACGCCCTCCTGGCCGTTATACTGAATGTATATTAGCCTACGACTATAATGACACGCCAGAGGACAAGGCTTACCGCAAGGCCCCAAATGGGAATCCTCCCCACGAAACAGTAACTGGCCCCAAGTGCAAGAGCCTTAAAGATATCCGACCCTCGCCGTATGCCCCCGTCAATTGCAAGTGGGATTCGCCCCCTTGCAATAGGGGCACATAGTCTCAGAGCATCTAGCGTTGCTGGGATTCCGTCCAGCTGGCGACCGCCGTGGTTGGAGATCACGATTCCGTCAACACCATAATGGATTGCTAGTTCGACATCGGCGGGGGAGCAAACTGTTTTTCCGGATCGTGTCAGTCAAACGAATGCCTAGTCTTTTAAGGACGGAAGACGGCGTACTCCCTTTGAGCCATATCTGCAGCGAGGTATGTTTTCTGAGCCACGGGATTGTGCTTTCCCAGTCGAGACTTGGATCTGCTTTGGTTAGCCTTTTGCAGTAGCCTTCGGGAATGGAAATTCCTACCGTAGTCAGTACGGTCTGAGGTATCAGCGCCGCAACTGAGGATGTTCGGCCAGTTCATATCTTCCGGAAGCGTATAGCTATTGCGGTATTCATTGAGTCTCTTTCCGAGCACAGGGACATCGACCGAAAGGAATAGTGCCTTGTACCCCGCCTCTGCTCCATGTTAATACGTATCAACGTCAGGCAGGGACGCGAGAGACGTACTTTCAGCCCGTTCCAGTAGCTGAATTGTGATTGATCGATCCCGCAACACACACATCTGCATCACGTACGGGTTCCCGGTCCCCTGCGCAGCCACATCCTCCAGGGAGTAATTCGAGTACGATGAGAGTCCCATGCAGATACCATACTTCGCGGCAGCCCGTGATGCCGCCAGTTCTCCATCTGGATGAGCTAGTTTTTGCGATGCAGCAGGGCTGAATCCAAACGGGAGGGAAACCTTGGTCCCTAGGATTTCCGTGGTCGTATCAACATGGTGCACGTTTCTCAGAATGCGAGGAAGGATTTTATAGCGGTCGAAGGCAGTTTCATTCTCCCGTAATCTGACGGACATTTAGCTAAGTGATCCTCGTCAACTGGGATGATACGTACGTGATTAGATCCATTGCGCCTTCATTGTAATAGTCTATGTAAAACTGTAAGGCTGTGGGTTCCACGAACAGATTGGATTTGCTCACCTCTGACCATCTTCGGAAGCTTACTGCTTCCTAGAGCCTTGAGGTCTGCTATGCAGGATACCTCGTTGTGTAGAGTCTCTCCTCGATGAGCCATCGAGACGATGATACTGTGTGTTGACTTGGAGGGAAAATATGTTGGGCATACGATGGAGAAATTACGCGGGAGCAGGAGACTTATCCGCCTTTCTGAACAGCTTGGGTCCAGTCATCAGAATTTCTCATCATGTCATTTCAGATATGTTTTTATTTGTGGCACGAACCTACCTCGGAGTTTAGATTGAGAGCTCAACGGAACCAATTACCCCTTCTGCATTGTTGCATGCATCGGATGATAGACTTGCGGAACAACCTTCCACAAGCACCATAATTCTCCCACTAACATCATATATTATTCCGAAGGTCATGGAATCAGAAGTTCCCAACTTACTCCGTACAGTATTGACCATTCTTACTGAGTTTCAGTAACCCCTGCGATATGACTATCCCCACTCGCATTTTCCTGTAGGTGGCTTTCGAACAATACACTACAGGGCTCCGTCATTGACAGGACTATAGCACAGGTGCCTCTGGCTATATCGGAGGCGATGTCCTCCACGCGCTACGGTCCACTCATCCTGAGTATAGCATTTCTGCTCTAGTGAGGGACACAAGAAAAGCTGCAATCCTGTCTCAAGCCTATCCAAACGTTCGAGTGGTCAGCGGTGATCTCGATTCCACGTCACTGATTGAAGAGGAAGTTCGTCAGGCCGATGTGGTAGTCCGTAAGTCATTGGCTACAACATATTGAGGTGTCGCTGATGGTCCGCAGATACAGCCAGTTCAAGCCACATTGAGAGTGTCAAGGCGATTGCTCGTGGTCTAGCTGGACGCAGTGATCCCGGTAGGCCGAACAGTCATTTTCATCTAAAGAACGGCATGCTGACTCTACAAGGCTACTGGCTTCAGATCTCGGGCGCAAGTGTCCTTTCGATTAGCGATATTCTCAATAGTACATACGGAGAAGGAACTGACAAGGTCTTTGGCGATGTCGTCGATGCTGACGCTGTCCGCGAAATTATTCGCCAGAATGCGACTCGCCGTGTAGTCGATGACTTTATTCTTAACCTGACCGGCCCCAAGACAGCTCTTGTGTTCGCACCTATCATTTACGGACAAGGTCGAGGCATTATCAAGCAGCGGAGTATTCAGATCCCTGAACTCGCCAGAGTCACCATTGAAACCGGAAGGGCGATCCAGGTGGGCAAGGGCGAGAGCACTTGGAGCAACGTCCATATCTCCGATGTTAGCGATCTTTTCGTAAAGTTGGTTGAAAAGGCCGTTCAGAAGGGGACAGATGAACGCATGTGGAATCAGGAGGGGTTGTATTTCCCCGGCAACTCGATGCTGGTAAGTCGACGGCTCTGGAGAATTTGTCGTTATTGTGTGTCAAAAAGGCTGATGTGAGCAACCAGAGCTTCAGCGGGATTTCCCTGTTGCTTGCTCAGACGGCCCACCGTCTCGGCTTGATAGAGTTGCCTCTAGTCTCTGAGATCGACCATGTGGCGGCGGACAAGTTATCTCCTCATGGGGGAGTTCTATGGGGTACCAACGCTCGCCAGAACAGTCAGCGGGCAAGAGAACTGCTGGGATGGTGTCCAAATGGCAGGAGTCTGGAGAGTGATATTCCTGATACAGTGGAGGAGGAGGCAAAGCGACTGGGGAAGCTATAATATAATGACAGAATGATCAAAAAGTTGACGTGGCAGTTGTATGCTTAACTATAGAAACATGAGTACTGTCACCAAAGAATCAAATCACTCTTACAAGCTACCGATCCTACTTCTCTCAACCTGCAAATCCCAATACACCCTCTTCAAGATATTCGAAGACACCATTATTGATGAAGGCAATTTCCAGTGGCATTCGTGATATTTTAAGGTTTCGGCTATGAAATGCGGGGTTGATGCTCCATTAACTTTGAACTCCCAAATAGGCAAGTGCTTCCGATCTCCTTTGACCTCGTCCGCCACAAAGACACCAGCAAGCAATCGCTTCAAAGACTCAATCTCCTGTCGAGGCGGCCGTTTGCAGCTTGTTTGGATCTATCCCTGTCCGTTCTTCATAGCAATGACCCCGATGACTTCGACTTTCATCCTGCCGCGCCGGACGCACGCGCTAGGAGCATGTCGCACCTGCAGACGTAGGCATGTCAAGTGCGACCAAAAGCGGCCTTCATGTCGTACATGTCGATCGCTGKGTGTCACATGCGAGCGTCCTCCAAGCAAGGTACGATGGATGCACAATCCCCATACTGGCGATAGTGCAGAGGACCAACGCGAAACCCGTCGGCATCTTTACACAGGTGAGCCTAGCCGTTTTAGACGCGGGCATGCATAATGATTGCCAACTAATGTGGGTACAGAGCAATCTAGGTTGTCCATGACATCCTCGTTACGCTCCCGACTGGTCTCAGGCTCAATCAATGCGTCGTTAGCTGAGATTGACCTCCGAACCAGAGACATTGACAACCCTCCCACAGGCGACATCATCGTCGGTCCGTTTGCAGTTTTAGGACTGCCTACACCTGAGTCCCAGAGGGGAGATAACGTGGTAGAGCAGCAGCAGACCGAGCAAGATGCACTGGATTCCACTTCAGTCGTGTCAGAGGCTCACATCGCCGAGCCGATCAGCCCGCCAATGATCGAGGATAGTTCAGACGCTATCGCCCAGCAGACGACATTCGCTCAAACATCTTTCTTTTCGGACTCTGTATGTCATTTTGACGATTTCCTCCACTGGTCGGATCTGCTTGGTTGCAGTCCAGATGCTCTTGATTGGAACCCTGCGCCGTTGTCAAGCGACATAAATCTAGCGACGAACTTAGCCGCGCTCGGCTCCGATTTCGAGATAGATCCTATGCCTTTCAACAGAGCAGCAAATGTCGGGTCATTCTCAGACGCCCCAGATGGGGACGGGTCGTTGCAGATGATAGCACCGACAGAGATGGCCTCCACCTTGCTACATGCCGCTTCATTGACAGAGGCCCCCTTCCTCTTCAAACATTTCCATGATAACGTGATTCCACAAACGATGCCTATGCCTCTCGGCAAGAAGTCTCCATGGAAAATTCTGAATGTACCAGCCGCAATGGTTACTTACAGTGACCTGACGATACTTGGTTCCCGGAATGTCAACCATGCGCGTCAGGCTAATCTCTATGGTTTGTTGGCCTGTTCTGCAGTCCACTTATCAATGTATCCAAGCGCATCCTCATCCGACACGGCCCAACATTGGCAAGAAACAGCTGAAAATATGTTTGAGCTTGCAAGAGAAAATATGCAGATGTCAATCAAGTATGAAACTCAAGAGCCGAAGAGAGCCAAGTACAAGGACCAACTAATGGCCATATGTTGCTTGACTGAATACGCGGTAGGTTCATCACGTCCAATGTCATGTTCCCCTCCTGAAGGGCAAAGGTTAACGTGCTTAGATCTTGTCTGGGCAACAGCACTATGCTCGTGGGTTCCTTATCCAGGCTGAGTATATTCTACGCATGCGGGGTTTGCCGAAACGACGGATCTCGCCAAAGGCGCGTCTCCTCCACCATGTTTATACGTGGCTGCGACTTGTAGGCGAGAGTACATACGTTCTTCATGACTATCAACCCTCGGCCTCCTTTATTGAGGCCCTTGATTGCGACTTTCGCTCTCGTCAGCCTGATCCACATAACCAGATCAGAAGCGAAGCACATCAAAAGGTCCCGCAGCTCGACGACTTTCTGCGACTCGAAGCACACCATTCGGACAGTGACCTGAACATTGACGATCCCAAAGATCAGGAGACCGGTTTGCATGATATTCATCTGCAGGACTCACGCAACTTTTCGGATACACTATACAAGCAGATTTACGGCATCCCCGAGACTTGGCTTACCCTCGTATCCCAGACTACGAGGCTCGCCAACGTTATGGAGACGTTTCGAATTGCCCGTCAATTACAAAAGAAGGCTTCCCTCGAGGCATGGGAAACACTCCACCGCCGCAGCGAGCACTTGGAAAATATGATCTGCTCATTTGCGTTGCGACACGACCGCCGGATACGGCCCAAACACTCGGACTCATCCAAACCCCATGAGCCCATGTTGCGAGCATTGAACAGCGCTCTGCTGATTTTCTTTTACCGGCGGGTTCGACAAGTCCATCCTGCTGTTCTAGATGGTTATGTGGAGAATGTTATTACGGCTCTGGTTGACTTCCAGAAAGCTGTACCGGCAGAGCATCCCATGAGCCCTGCAACGGCTTGGCCAATGTTTATTGCCGGGTGTGAGGCGCTTACAGCCTCTAAGCGGGACGCTGTCCTTCAATTCTTCAACAGGGCCGAGTCCATCTGTCGATTTCCCATATTCAAAACAGCCAGGGAAATTCTGACATCCGTGTGGAACCAGCAGGACCAGCATTTGGAGACGAATAGACGAGACCCGATGCCAACGTGGATTGACGTTGTCAGAAGAGAGCAAATATGGCCCATCTTTTGCTGATTCACTTATATAACGATACCCTGCGCCGCTACTAAATGTATTACTGCGTTAACATACCTCAATTTCTCAGTCAAACCATCATTGGAGGTGGTATATTGGATTACAAAATCAAGGACATATCTTCATTGGTTCATACACTTTCTCAAAGCTGTGCGTTAAATATCATCTAGCCATTTATACCGTGCTTACACCCGCGTCAATTAGCAACTGCTTCAGCTCTGCCTGCAATTCAGGCCCAAGTGACTTGAACGGCTTCCTCAAGCCTCCAGTGGCTTGTCCAGTTAGCTCCACCCCAGCCTTGACAGCCGCCGCATAGTTATGCGATTCCAAAAACTTGCAGATAGGCCAAATCTTCATCCACAGCTCACGTCCTCGCTTCAGGTCCCCCTTCACTGAGACAGTCTCGTACAGCTTGACCGCCAGCTCGGGGATGAAATTGGCCGCTCCCCACACCCCTCCGGGACAACCGGCCGCAAGACCGTAGAAGGTCAGTGTATCCCAGCCATTGAACGCGGTGATCTTATCCGAAAGCCCAAAGACCAACTCTGTGAAGGCGGGGGCATTCCCCGACGTATCTTTCAGATACCTGACCCCCACTTTAGACAATCCCGCAATCTCGCCGGGAGTGAGCGTCAGACCTGAAGCGCTAGGAATATTGTAATACATGATAGGCAGACCGGAGGCGTTATGGATCTCCGCCATGAGCTCGGTCAACTGCTCCAGGTTAACGGGGTCGTAGAACGGCGGCACGACCATCAGCGCTGCTGCGCCGGCGGAGGCTGCGTGCGTGGCTAGCTCGAGAGCCTCGGCTGTGGAAGTGCTTCCTGCCCCGACGACAACTGGGACGCGGCCGGCGGCGAACTTGATACATAGCTCGGTGAGCTCCTTGCGCTCTGCGGTGGTCATGGTAGTGAACTCGCCGGTGCTGCCGCCGGGGACGAGCCCGTGGATGCCGGCTGCAATGAGGCGGTCTATGTGTGCTTTCAGACGGGCTGCATCGATGCGTGTCTGGTCGTCTGTGAAGGGGGTGATGAGAGCAACTAGGATGCCGTGTAAATCGGACATTTTGGGCTTGTATTGCGATGGACAGAGATATAGACGGATTGTTTGGTTGTGAAGAAGGATCCAAGAAGAAAGAACGATTCAATTGATATCTCTATAAGAATCCACGAAAGAGTGCTAGATATAGATGGACGTAATGTGAAGGATAGGGACCACTTGCCGTTTTGGGAACGTGGCGCGACGGTAAGGGAAGGCTTTCCGTCCAGCAATCCGCCACACCAATAGCGGAAGTATAGGGACTACTGTCTCTGAAGATTGCTATCATGAAAGCTGACCATTACTTCGAGGAAACTTAAATAGTACCCGAGGTCTTGTGTCACGAGATATGGCATTTCGGGCAATCCTGAGAAGACGTAGTATACGATTGGAACTGAATGAGAGAAACTTTCAGTAAAGTATATGACTATTTCCACGATTAAGATACCTTTACGGCTAATCGGGATCATTTCTAGGTACTGCACGACTGAATGCTGCTTTGACGGTGATTCTACCTGTGTATACACATGCTATGTAGACGGGTGGACAGTCCAAACTTAATATTACATGACTAGCAACAGATCTATTGCAGGCCTATGTCCTATCAAGAGACAGATAGACTTCACTGAGACACCCTATGATAGCCAAGCTGCTGACGCTCCATTAGGAAAGCCATCCCGAAACTCAATTAGTGTATGACTCGCCTGACCTTCAGCGACAGGCGTCCCCAACACGAAATATGCGCCACTGGACACGGGCGCGACAATCACACTAACCGTAACCCATTTCCTTTCCCAGTCGGCGGTTTAAACCTCTGCGACACTGAAAACGTCGTTATCTGGGTGGAGTCTTCTCCGGGTCACTGTGGCACTCCCCAACTTACCCCGGATTACGACCAAGGTTGACATGATAAGAGGGACTATATGAAGGGTATCCTTCCCCACTGTCGACAATGGGATTCMTTCATCAAAGCTACAGCTATCAAAATGACATCACGTATTGTTTCTCTCTCTCCTGATCATTCGAACATGGACGCGGAAAGCCAGACTCCACCTCAAAAGCCAGAGGATATGGACCAGAAGAAAGAGGAACCGATGCAGCCTATCCGTCAGGATGCCTTTGGTGACGAGGAGTTTGCAGAGGTCAAGTACAAGGTTCTCAAGTGGTGGTGCGTTTACCGAGTCTTCTGGAGGGGATGTGCTAACAGTTTTCAACAGGCAAGGAGGACTGCTCATGGTCGCTGAGACTATCTCCCTGGGCATCCTCTCGCTTCCCGCGGCTGTTGGAACCGTCGGACTAGCTCCAGGGCTCGCCATCCTTATCAGCATGGGCATCTTCGCCAGCTACAACGGCTACGTTATTGGACAGATAAAACTGCGATTTCCTCATATCAGCAGCATGTCTGATGCGGGTGAAGTCCTGCTGGGCCCGTTTGGGAGGGAACTCCTGAATGCAGCACAGATACTACTGTTGATCTTCATCATGGCGAGTCATATCTTGACATTCACTGTGGCCCTGAATGTCATTACGGGCCATGCTACTTGCTCCATCATCTTCGGAGTTGTGGGAGCAGTGATTTCGTGCCTGCTATCCCTGCCTCGGACGTTGGAGAAAGTCTCATGGCTATCGCTCGTTTGTGAGTTGTGCTGCCATGGGCTGTACGGGTTGTGTTAGAGTTAACCTCTAGCAGCATTTGTCAGCGTCTTCTCCGCAGTGATGGTCACCATGATCAGTATCGGGATCATCAACCCACCCTCGACATGGGTAGCCGCCAAGCACACAGATTTGGTGACTGGCTTTGGGGGCGTCACAAACATGGTCTTCGCATATGGTGGGTACAATGTCATCATACTCAGTGTTAGTTCTGACAATCAACAGCCAGCCATAATTCCTTCTTCACTTTCATTGCGGAGCTTAGCGACCCCAGGGAATTCCCAAAGGCGCTTGCCCTTCTCCAAAGCATTGATATCTCGCTCTATATCGTTGCTGCGGTCGTTATATACTACTTTGCCGGCGAGGCGACAACATCACCCGCTCTGGGGTCTACAGGTCCTTTAATCTCCAAGATTGCATACGGCATTGCCTTGCCTACTGTAAGATTCTCGATCCCGCGCGGACCTTCAACTCTCAGCGGTCTAGAGACTGACCCTCACAGATTGTCATCGCAGGTGTGATCAACGGCCACATTGCCGCCAAAGCCATCTATCTGCGCATGTTTGTAGGAACGGACCGGATCCACAAGAGGGACTGGATTGCTGTCGGCTCATGGATAGGAATTATGGTCGTGCTCTGGACCATAGCTTGGATCATCGCCGAGGCTATACCAGTGTTTAATGACCTTATCGGGTTGATTGTCAGTTACCCATGCGGAGTAGCACGTCCAAAGAAACTGACCGGATACTAGGCCTCACTGTTTCTGAGCTGGTTTACCTTTGGTCTGCCCGGTGTATTTTGGCTGTATATGAACAAGGGAATGTGGCTCTTGTCGCGAAGGAAGATTTTCTTGACTGTTGTCAACGTGTCTTCGATAATTATTGGATTGGTTGTGGTGAGTATATACCTTGCTCGGACACAGTGCTTAGGCTGATCGATCAGTGTGCCCTCGGGCTTTACGCATCCGGTGTCTCGATTCATCAGAATCCGGCGGGCTCTGTTTTTTCATGTGGTGCTCGCAGTTAATCTTGCTGTTTCTTAGGGTGTATACGGCATGGAGCTGATTGACAATACAAGGTTGGCTGTGAGTACCTCATATTTACTCTTGTATATCAAAATTTATTTGGCTTGTATCATTCTACGGTTAGCGCTTATATTTGAAGCTGTCGTGAATTGATCGGCACATGACTACCTCAAGCTGTAAAGGAAGAATGAGGAAGAGATCTGTCATTCTCGCGTGTTGGAAGGGGATAGTAGACAGTGGGTTGACGAGAGGCTGGAAGGCAGCGCATCTGTTGCTATCTGCAAGTATCCCGACCGATCGATTGAAGCAGACATGTGTAGTATTGGAAAATTTGGTTATCTCTTGCAGATTTACATTGGAAACAGGACAGAGCCAATGATTGCCTTCGCATTGAATACGTGATTTCCTTGCACTCGCCACTTGAAATAAAATGATTCAGAAAGGTGTACAGCCTGGGCATTTATGATCCGTGCTTAGAGACTTTCACAAGACCTCGCTCAAGCTCGACGCCGTCGTGTGAACGATTCCTAGTGTTTCCCCTTTATAAGTCGCCTTTTTTTTACTTTCCGGAACCGAGCCCTCGGAAGCATAAAGTCCCTTTTAGTCAGGAGGGCGAGGTGGATGTCGACTAGAATGTAACTAAGCCGTTGAGGACTGTTGTTCCTGGCTCTGTGCAACGAATGACTGCAGTCCGCGTGATTGCTACTTAGAGCGGTACAGATATAGTAGACGTAGTAAATAATCCTATGGTCTGGTGTGTCTACTGATTGTTCACTGACTGATTTTCCGACATATTGCCAAGTCGGTGGGGGGACGCACTCGTCGGCTCCCAATATCAGGGCTCAATGTTCGATCAAAAGGGGCGGTAAACAAGCTTTCGTATCAGGGATCAAAATTTGCGGTTATTGCGGAACCAAACGGGTAAGGGGCCAGCTCCACCTCGGGGAAGCCCAATCCCCCGCAATACCCGGTGTGTTCCAATTAGCCATATCTTGATTTTGTGGAAAGACTCGTATTAGCAAACGCTTGTTCTGCTCAGTTTGTTTGGGCGTGGCGCGGCCATACCTGCCATCAGTCCGTTTGCCCCCAAACTTAAGAGGTTCTTCATGGCACAATATGCTACAATATGCTACAACTGTAAAACAATATAATTATTTTATGTAATAGATGTGATTATGTGACTGTAGTTGAGTCGCAGGTCGTACGTCAGGTGATCTCCCCACATCCAGAGTGCAAGTACCAGGTTACAAAGCACATATTCAAGAGTGTGTCGTCCGGACTATTTAATATCATAAAGGCTCATCTGAAGGCGCTCTTGAAATGCTCTCATAAACTGCTAAATATTGCAAAAATCGCCGGATTGTTAGCTCACCCAGTACTACACAATGTCATCAGTCGTCGCTGGGTCGATACCTTGGCATGAAGGCGAAGAAAAGATGCACAAACTGCTCCGAGTTCCGCACAGGGACAATCCTACAGTTCCCTTCATCACCTCCCGTGCAGGCCACCTGATAAAGCAATCTCCCTTGCTTGCGATTGGGACGCTCGATCAAGAAGGGAGGCCATGGTCTTCCATCTGGGGAGGGGAAAAAGGCTTTGCTACTCCAACTTCTGATTCCACCTTCGCTATCAAAACCCCAATCGGGACGACCTATGATCCCGTAGTCGAGAGTTTGTTGTTGGATTCCTCTACCAACAGCGGAAAGTCGGTCTCGTTCTTAGCGGTTGATCTCGAAAATCACCAAAGAGTGAAGCTTTATGGCAGGGTAGCCGCTGGATCGTTGGATACTCTTGATGTAGAAACTCGAGCCGATGTTGCCCACCTTATCGTCCACGTTGACGGCAGTCTCTGTGAGTATAACTCTGTTAATGAAAAAGATACCAAAGCTTACATTCTAGGCAATTGTCCCAAGTACCTGAATGCGAAGCACATTCTTCCCGCTCCTCCAGACCCAAAACTCATCTCGAAGAGTCCCCAGCTGCCCCTTAAGGCCCTCAGTTTGCTAAGTCGGGCGGATTGTTTTTTCATATCCTCGTCGCATGGGAAAGAGGGTATGGATACAAATATCCGTGGCGGGCCTCCCGGATTTGTCCGGATCGTCTCCAACGAACCCAGTGGCGGGGTGTTCATATACCCGGAGTACTCGGGGAATCGGCTCTATCAGACTCTGGGCAACCTCCTGACAACTCCTTTGGCAGGTTTCGTCTTCCCAGATTTTGAATCGGGTAATTCATTGTTTATCACAGGGAGAACAGAGATTCTAATAGGAAAGGACGCGTCTTCTGTTCTTCCTCGCTCGAATATTGCCGTCAGAGTGACCATCACCTCAGCTCGTTTCGTAGAGAAGGCGCTTGCCTTTCGAGGGATTCCGGGGAAACCATCCCCTTATAATCCCGGTGTCCGATATTTAATAACGGAGAAATCATCTTCGGCCGCTCTTGCAGATCGCGAATCGTCCGTTACTGCAACACTAATTCGAAAGGAGATTATCACCCCCTCGATTGGTCGATTTCGCTTTCGACTATCAGACAAAGGAAAGGCGGGGCCATGGAGCCCGGGCCAGTATGCAACATTTAGTTTCCGAAATCAGCTGGATGTGGGATACAGGCACATGAACGATAGTGACCCGTCAAGCCTTAACGACGACTTCGTCCGCACATTCACCATCTCATCCAGCCCAGGATACGGCATCCCTGATGATGAATTTGAGATTACCGCTCGAAGAAACGGGAAAATAACCAACTATCTTTTCCGAACAAGCACCCGAGTTGGGTTAGAGGTTCCGCTAAAGGGATTTGGGGGCGACTTTAGTCTGAAGAAACAAAGCAACGATGATATGCTCCCTTTTATAGCGGGAGGGATTGGGATCACGCCCGTTTTAGCACAACTTCCGATCATCGACATCAGAAGGCTTCGCCTCTTATGGTCAATCTCGATTGAGGACATCGTTTTGGTGGTGGACACGTTTAGGCGATTTCCCGGGCTGCCTGGCTCAACAACCGTGTTCATCACAGGACTTAGCTCGCACCATGGACGGGTCCATGAAGGGCTAGAGGCAGTTGAGTCATCTGGAGCACTGGTTCATTATCGGAGGATGGGGGCCAACGATATAGATCTAGCGCTGGCAGATACATGGTATTTCTGCGGGAGTCCTTCTCTGAGGGTTCCAGTGCTAGATTGGCTCGCTGGCAAGGCCGTGGTGTACGAAGATTTTGGTTACTAAAAGCTGATATTTCTGGGACACCAAGGACGGTAGGAGAAGTTAATGCATTTTTACAACGTCAAGACGTAAAGTTGTGCTTCATTTGGTGGAGCGTCTAATAGTTGAAAAGTCCAGGTATTAGAGCTTGAGTTCATGGGCAAAAGGAAGCACAAAGGTATTCAGCGCTATGATGTAAATAAATGAAGCGCATAATTTGGCAGAGATATCCATTTGAAAAGTCTCTTCTCCTGTTGCGATGTTAAAGCTGCAGATACATAACCTGGGATCCCACAACTATACTAGATCTGCTACATGAGAATCCAATGAGCCCTACAGTATCCTCTCCAATGGTTTCACGATCTTCAGCTTCAGCCTTACATGCGCCACAGTGCCACATATCCCGGGTTTTCTGCTCTAGTATCCGGTCTTCTGCAAAACGTAGTCGGTTATCGAACGAGGCACGGCACCAAGCGGGTCACCAGAACACGACTTCAGTTCAGGTTAAAAGCCCCGTAACATGGCCTACTCCCATGCGATCTACTTATCTCTATGCGAGTACTTATAAGGCTAATTGTAATTGGCAACGCTGAGTACAGATGGTTGCGCCATTTGGGGACGATGGACTCCTTATCCTTTGAATATTTTAGACGGCCAACAACTGCTCTTCCAGGTCCCTTCTGGACGGAGGACTCCAGAGATATGTATGAATTGACGAGGTACTAAAACCTCTTCGAACGTTGTGTCGAAAATGTAGCGGCGGTGGGATCCTATTTGGAACGTCCCATGTCACGAGGGAATAATTCCCCGTCATCCCTGTCATCGGGAGTCTTTCTAGCATAAGCCGCTATCGGAGAGATTGCTGGGGAAAAAGTACAGCAGATAGGTACATATCCTTTCATATCCAAATAGTATTCTTACAGCGGAAATATGTTAAGTTGCCCTGTCCTAGTGTCTATCTACTCCGGTGACTGTGGTTATCCAATGTAGAACTTTGGGATTGGAATATTTCCATCAAAATTTATTCTACGACGCTGGTGGTGGCAGATAATGATGAGGCGCAAATTTTGTCCAATGATTCTGGTCCCAAGTTGTCAGGACATTGCCTCCTTCTGTAAGACTAGATAGAAATCCAGCCCGATTCAAATTCTCCTCTTAGTCGTTCAAGAGATGCTGGCAGCAACAGTGACACCACGCTATACAGCCGACTGCGTCAGCATGGCGTTTTGCCGTCTCCTATTGGTGGGGAGTTTAGGATCTTGGCGATTTTCTCCGCAATACCCGCGGAGATGGTGGGCAAGGAGGTAGAGTTAACTAATGATCATCAAATATCTTACTACATTCGTTGTCTGGGACCTTCTGTGGCCAATTCTCCCATGCCATGCCTTTGGTGAGCGTTTGCAGACCACGACCGACTCCCTCACGACCCCTGCCCGAACATCAAGATGGAGAGCAATCTTTCTTTGCGAGGTAGGATATTAGCGGCACAGAAGCCCGTCTTCTTGGATGTTCTGGGTGATATATGGGATCCTTCATCAAATCCCGATGGAGTTGTGAATATTGGACTCGCCGAGAATGTCAGCCTAATTCTCTCAGATATTGTTAATATGTGCTAACCACTCTTTAGACCCTAATGCACATGGAAATGGGAGAGTTCATGAACTCCAAGGTAATATCCACTCATGCACACGCCATATGAAGAGATGGGGACGGCTCCTAATCTACCAGGGTTTAGCTGCACGTCGATTCCCATGCGTTGACGTACGGGGACGGGTTTTCGGGGTCCCATAAGCTCAAAGGGGCGCTTTGTCATTTCTTGAATCACCACTTTTGTCCTCGAGTTGAGTTGTCGCCCACTCAGATCACCATTACTTCTGGTGTGAGCAATGCCGTCGAGTGTTGTGCCTGGGCCCTGTCTGACCCGGGGGACTATATCTTGATTGGGCGTCCCTATTTCAATGCTTTCAAGCCTACGTTTGGAATACGTGCTGGGTACAGCAACCTGTTTCCCCCAACCCACAGATCCCCTGTGTTTCTTCAAATCCCCTATCGAAAGAGTCCTACTGAAACTGACCCTTGATTCTTAGAGTTGGACTTCTTGAGGTTAAGTTTGGCACGACGGACCCATTCAGTCTCGACGCCGTCCAAGAGTATGAGAACACATTTGTTGAAGCGCGCAGTAGAGGCATCTGTGTAAAGGCTCTCTTGTTATGCTCGCCTCATAATCCTCTTGGTTAGTAAATCTCCCGCATAACTGCGACCGTCAATGATTTACAAGATTGTTCGTTCAGGTCGTTGCTACTCTGAAGATGTTCTGAGGGAGTACATGAAGTTCTGTAATAAACACAGGCTTCATTTAATATCTGATGAGATCTACGCACTCTCGGTGTGGGAGAATAATGATCTTTCAGGAGCGCCCACTTTCAAGTCAGTTTTGTCTATGGACGTCAGCGACATCATGGATCCCAGTATGGTTCATGTAGTATGGGGTTTAAGCAAAGTAAGTGGCCTCGCTTGGGTTCTACATGGTCATAAACTTAGCGTTGGTGAAATCAGGATTTTGGAGCGACGGGTCTACGAATTGGTTGCTTGATCAGCCAGTCAAACATGAGTCTTTTGGAGGCTGCAGATGGAATCTCGTAGGATTGTGTGACTCGCTAATGTTGCCAAGTGCTAACTATTCTTCGCTTTAGTCTCTATAACTTTCCGTCAAGCTTAGCAGACAGTATTGCGGCTTCGATTTTACTTGACGATGAGTTCAGCAGCAAGTATATTGCGACGAATCAACGCCGTTTAGCCGAGAGTTACCGTTTCGTGACTGACTTTCTTACGCTCCATGAAATTCCATATTACAAGTCCAATGCCGCAATTTTTGTTTGGATGAACCTGGCAGCGGTGCTGAGAGATAAATCGATCAAGGACGCAGACATCCTTATGGAACTTCGAAGGCAAAAGGTATATATTGGGGCGGGTTATGCCTACGCAAGTGAGGAGGCAGGGTGGTTCCGGATGGTGTTCGCCCATTCCCAGAGTGTTCTTGAAGAAGGACTAAATCGTATGCTCCGGGCTCTACGTTGCTTGAATTCATATTAGAGCCGCCATCATTTGTTTCCTAACAATGGCTTTGAGTTTTATGCTAAGCTTCTTCTACTAAAGACACAACGTACCCAATGCCAAACAGCACTGCATTTTCCTACATCCATAGCTTGGTGAAAGTTCTAGCAAGATCATCTAATGCGCTCAGCACTACAAAGGCCTCATATAGTCTCGATGAATCTCCTGCGGCGACAATTTGGAAGATGTCGCGGTTAACCCGGTCTTGGCTCGCTCGTATCTTGAAGTCTATGGGGAATGGAAGCTCTAGGAGATGCAGTGGATAGCGAATGTGCCAAATAGCAAAAGAGCCAAAACTGGTCAAACAATACAAATGATTTTCGAAGTAGCCACTCTTTTTGCTGAACTCAGTTGTTGCTTGCTAGGCATGCAGCCTATAACTGCTCCTTTAAATCGAAGCTAATTTGTAGTGGGGTGAGCGCATCACCATCACTTGTACCCTACAATATGATTGTCACTGCAGTGGGGGGTGCCCATTTAGGGTATGACAGTACGGTAGTTGGTACTGTTCCCTGAAGCAATCGTTAAACTTGCCGCATTAGGTGAAGCGCCCCGTACCAGTATTCATCAACCATTCTCCGGGACACCCCCATCCGCCTGCTCCACAAGAGTCTAAACACTCACAAGGTTATTAACCCTTGCATTTTTCGCTTGCCTTCAATACCGTTCTGGAGAATAGCTTCTTTGTAAATATTCAATTTTTTTTCGGGGCTCATATCCAGCTGGATCCAGAATCCTGCAGGATCCCTTATTCGTCAGCTGTCGGTTTGAACCAACCTATCTGATTAGGTACACGATATGAATACGGCTGACTTTGACTCCCCACTGCCGGCGACTTGCGAAGATTCCGGAGAAGCGCTTTTCTCCGCGCCAGTCGACTCGCCTGTCGAGTGGAAAGATATCGCTGTGGAGGATTTTGAGGCATATCGGCAATGCGTCACGCCCTTGAACCAGGTCGGCTATCAGACAGATTCTGAACGAGATGCGCTGGTTGATATACACCCCAAGGGATTTTTCATCCGACAACCCCCCTTGCCTCACGAACTCGATACCCACATGACACCGGACGCCCAATTATTCCAGACGATTCACATGGGTGCCGCGGTGGTCGACCCCAACCGATGGCGCCTCATTGTCGACGGAATGGTCCTCCATCCGTTTATGCTCAATCTCGGCCAACTACGGAGCATGCCACGAACATCCGTCACGACATTCCATGAATGCTATGGCAGCCCTCTTCTTCCCCCGACGCGGGCTGTACGGAGGGTTGGTAACGTACGCTGGACTGGGGTAAGCTTACGCGCATTGCTTCAGATGGCACAGCCCAAAGGGTCTGCGTCATATGTCTGGTCCGAAGGCCTAGATGGTGGGATCTTTGCCGATGTCTGGGCAGATCGGTACCAGAAAGACCTTCCCTTGGAGAAAGCAATGGCTCCTGAGGTGCTACTCGCGTTTGAAATCAATGGTGCTCCTTTAGACAAGGAGCGTGGGGGTCCCGTCCGCCTCGTAGTTCCGGGTTGGTACGGCACTAACTCCACCAAGTGGATCAGTCATATCTCTCTCCAAGACAAACGCGCAACTGGGCCGTACACCACCCTGTTCTACAACGAGATTGATCCGGCCGATCCTGACGGTCAGCAGAGACGGCCGGTGTGGAAGGTGGAACCAAATTCGATCATTGTCCGTCCTCGTCCCGGCGCGGTTTTCGCCAGTGGACACACTATAACCGTCATTGGTCGTGCCTGGGCGTGCGAGGAGATAGTACAAGTGGAAATCAGCACGGATGGAGGGAATTCTTGGTGCAACGCCCAGCTTAATCCGCGGAGGGAATTCGAGTGGCAGCTGTTCCAGCAAAGAGTGGTCTTCAGCCGTGGCGGATTTTACACAATCACTGCGCGGGCAACAGATAAACGTGGACAGCAACAACCCTTACGTAATCGACGCAACCATGTCCCTACGGTGAGTATAAGCGTAGCCGAGGGACACGAGGTATAGGAAATGAAACAACCCTTTACAGAAGGCCAGCTTGACAAACGGCATCCTCGTTTATGACGCCGTACGTGAGAGGCTATCCCCAAGCCCTTAAGCTAAAGTTGCCGATGCTGGCTCCTGTTCTACTCACAAAAGATCATTTGATAGGGTGGTTTCAAATCCGTGGTCTTATTACTTAAGTACCTTTCAATTTCCGAATCGCATCTCGTACAGAATGACGGTAGAGGACAATCAATCATCTTACCCCCGTTCCGATCTACTGACGGAAGAAGGGCTTGAAATGGTGCCTTTTTGTTATATGGTCTCCCCGAGCTCAGCATTATGGCTGATTCTCAGCCAGAACTTCGAAAATAGGTAATGACTGGTGATGCGGACGAGGAAAAGACACCTTAAAATCTGGGAGTATCTGGGAAATCACTTACACATCTCAGTGTTGCCCTTTCCTATGCTTTTATTTCTGCTGCTACTGCTCTGGATGGGACTTGTATGTACTTATTCATTACATTTACAGTTAGAGTACAGCAAGAGCTAATAGCGAGAATTGCTGTTGGTATTGTGCAAGTCAGCTGGTATGAACATTAACCGTCACACCTCGCTATACTTACGTCTTTTGTTACAAGCCTCAGTTACACATGTACAAATTGTTGGACTAGGAGAATAAGTTCGCATCTGCTTTTGGTTCGCATTCCTTCTATCCGAGCAGGACTAATCTTCTCATCTTGTATCCGTGTCTGGCAAAAGGGAGGCATGTCCAAAGAACATGGCTCAGAAACTAAAAGACTGCACGGTAGGTTAGCAGGAACTAGCATTTGTAAATAGTTTGCTCTATACTCAAAGGCACATGCAGTCTTTGCAGTGAGAAACTCTGCATAGTAAGACTGATATCTAGCCATATCAGTGTACAGTCGCATCGGGGATTTGTGCTTTGAATGGGAAACCCAGATATCTGAGGTATGGTAGCAAGAGCAGTCACAATAGGAAGTAATACGAAATACAACTCCTGTTGCCGCTCAAAACAGAAAGAAGTTTGTTTGTCATTATCAATCCACTTATAGAATCGATTTGGTTAGTGCATCTATCGCCAATACTATACAGAGGCTGTTTTCTCTGTCCCATTCACAAAGCACATCCCTGAAGTCGCGACCATTAATCCTCCAGAATCCATACCCCAGGCTTTGTGCCACTAGACTAGGTTATTGCAGGGATACCCGCCTCTATGCACTCTCCTACGTAGATATTTGCATGATAAATGAGGATGCAAGATATAGTGCAGATTCAGTGGCCTAATGGCAGTGAAGGGTGAGCACTCCATTTCCATATGACCTTTTACAGCAGTGAAGTTTTGAGTTGCTAGTAAGCCTTTTGGATCAACGCTCAGAAGATCTAAGTTTGTGGGTGTGTTTATGGTATTAAGTTTTGTTGAAACTTTAACCCGTTGGGAAGATGGTACAACCCTGGGCCCAATCTTAGGACCCGTACGTCATCACACCTTGAAGAGCTCCAGCTGGCAATCCCAGTGCTGACAGGAGCTCTTGGAGCATAGGTATTGGGACAATCATTGGATGATTTGTGTCTTAATACGCTGGCTGGCGCTGGCCTGGATCATCCTGATACCGGTAAGGTGAATTGTCTCTATGTATGATCTACAATTCTAACAAGTTCCCAGTCAGTCCAGAGCCCTTGGTATCACTACCACTGTCATTATGCGGCAGATTAGCGCAGTTGTTGTGCCGGGAGAAAAAGCAGACCTGACGCGCAAACATGTTGGGAACCTCAGGATAACCAGACCCAAAGGGGAACAACAGAAGTCATCCCGCCAGATGCAGATGCATGCACTTACATATCTGATGCGGATGTTGATCTTCTCACTGATTGTTTTGCTTACTATCTCATCGATGCCTTCGGGGCGGCAGCGGCGGCCTCCTCGCACGCAGCCAACGTCATCTGATCCCCTTTTGGTGTCTTTTGGGGCCTTGCTGCCGCGCCTTTGTATGATGCTCTAGGACTGGGTTGGGAGAACTGCGTGGTGGGGTTTATCACGCTGTCATTTGTGCCAATGCCGTGGTTGTTTTACCGCTACGGCGAAGCTTTGAGAACTTGTTTTGCAATTGATAAGTACATTAGTAAGAACTACAGCAAGTCTGTTTCATCCAATGCCTCAACCTTGACATACCACTCCTTGACATAACTGGCACAATATAAGCCATACATTTCTGCATGCCCCTCAGCTAATGGCACCTCATTAAGTAGCTAAGAATCTCTTCATCAATTACCATGCAAACCCGATATTTGTTCCACCTGTCTCGCTGCCCTTGCCCTTCCACACATGATTCAAAATGTGAACGCACATCCTCAATTAACGCGCCGTCAAGTGCTTGTGAATATTCCATAATAGTCAATTGGTGACAAGTCCATAGCTCATTATTAGGCGAAGGATCTAGATCTCGGACACCAGAGTAGCGGAATTCTTCGTAGACTTCTCGCTTAATCCAGGAATTAATGATGTTGATTGCCTTGCGGAATGCTGGGTCGGATTTATATGTAGTGCGGTAGACCACCCAACCCCATGATTCTTGACGCCGTTCGTGGATATCAGCGAGTAATCAACGGGAAGGGCGGTCGGTCCCTATCTAGCTGTGTCTGATCTAGACCAGGTACATGGAACATGACAATGTTGGAGTGAGAAGTATATGGTCAATGAGTGAGGAGTGATACAAAGTCCGGTGAGGGAAGGGAAAATGTAGTGGCGAGCAGTAGCAATTAGATAAACCGGGGTACTACCCTATTATAGCTGGCGGTATGTCCCGTTCCAAGGCGCTAATGCATATTTCATCCAATATATTGTACAGGTATATATTCTGATAGACTATTCTCTCACCCGGGTAGACCATCGACAACAGGTCTATGATGTGGAATGACCGATAATCGCTACACTCCTCATTCTAAAGAAATGCCGTTGCAGGACAGCAACCTGGAATTGCACCGGGGCGGCTGCGTCGCAAGAGCTATACTAAATAATAGGGCAGAACAGGGAAAGAAGTTCCGAAAACCGAGTGTAGAGAAGATCATAATCAAATACACGGACCCTCAAATGAATAATACTAGTCGACAGCATGGTATGCTGACATAAATTCCAGCTGACAGCGAAATGCAGGCTTAAGGCACTCATCATGCGGTCTTTGACCTGAGACTTAGCAGACAACCACCCATCATAGTGTCCCAAGTAGGATTGCGCCAGCCATCCCGCATCCAGCACCAACACCGGCTTTTACTTTCGCAGCTAACGCCGAGGGTGGGGGCATTGACAACAAGGTAGCAGGGACGGTCGGTGAGGTCGAAGTTGTTGTCGTTCCAATGAAAGTTAACGGCATGGAAACTGTAGAAGTGGACGTAGGTGGGGGTGGAGGGAGGTCGTTGATATTCTCAGTGGCTGTCTGAGTTTCAATGTTTTCTGAGGTAAAGGCACCGCCAGGCCCACTGCATCTCTGCCCCCTTGGGCAGCAACCATACTTCCCATTATCACCGAGGCTGCAGTAATCTGTCGGAGGACAGCCACCTGAGTGATCCGGACAACAGGTCCAGCTGTCGTTGATACAGCCATCACTGCCGCAAGGTTTCATGCCCTGCTGCTCTGAGCAGGAACCTGTGGAAGCGGACGTAGGAGGGGGCGGAGGGAGGTCATTGATAGTCTTAGTAGCTATCTGAGTTCCAATGTCTTCTGAGGTAAAGACACCGCCGGGCCCACTGCATCTCTGCCCCCTTGGGCAGCAACCATACTTCCCATTATCACCGAGGCTGCAGTAATCTGTCGGAGGACAGCCACCTGAGCGATCCGGACAACAGGTCCAGCTTTCGTTAATACAGTCGACATCACTGCCGCAAGGTTTCTTGCCGGGTTGCTCTGAGCAGGGGAGATAGGCAGTTTGGCGAGAATGGAGGGGCATGAGGCCAGCAGCGGCGGCGGCTGATGCAGTTATGAAGAGGATGATCTTTTGCATGGCAATGAAGTGTGCCGATTGTATTCAAACGAACTGTTTTCGTGAATGGTGGAGGAATTGCTCGATGGAGGATTGGACGGTAAATAGATTGGGGGTGTAGCAGACCGAGTATACGTAGTAGAAGGTCAACTCTTCCTGGCCATCAAGTGAACGTCGGCGAGCGCCCAGAGTAATTCTCTTGAGTACTTCAGCCGCTTTTATATCCGCATTTTGATAAATGTGGCTGTTTTGAATTGTACCGTCAAAGCACTACAGGCGGCATGCTTGCTTTTCCTGCGAGGTGTAAATTTATTCGTCCCGTTAGCAAGGCCAATCTGCTCTATTTGGTCGGTCCGCAGCAGCCTTGTCGGTCCGCAGCAGTACAACCCAGGCCATTGAACAGGAGGCAACCAGCGGTTACCTCTCCAGGTGGATTCTATAGGCCAATGGCATCCCTTTTTCTATGCTTAGCAGAGCCGCTGGGCATGTTTTGCTTCAAGAAACTGCTAGATCGTTTGTAGCCTAATGAAAATCCCGCATAGTAAGCCAGCAAGAATCAGGGCCATGGACAAAACAATGTACACTGCATGTGAGATGTTACCAATCACATCTCATCTTTGATTACTTTCTAATCTCCGGGTCAAATGCTGCTTAGGTAGTCCATGACCCACCAGGCTCTGATATATGTCTGGCTCTAGCGCTGTAACCTTGTCTCGCATCCCTTGCGGACTGCGGAGTATGTGCTACGCGGCTGTTCGCCATTGGCTTTGGGCCTGTTTTAATCAAAAGTTGGAGGGTTCCGTGAGAACTTAGAAAAAAACGAAGCCTCACATGAAGAAGCTCTTGGGACCCTTTAGTTTCAGCCCCAAACCTCAGTCTACACGTCCTAAGCGAGGTCGTCACCAGCCGCTCATATTTGAATTAAGCAAACAACCAAGGCTTCTATCGGTCTCCATGACTATTTACAGAGAATGCGGGATCCAAAAGCTTGTTCATGGAGGCGCCGTACCATACTGGGTATGGAGCGTTCCGGCCAGCCAAGCTAGAGGTTTACTTCTCGAGTTCTTGTTTGTGGAAGGAATGAAACTACTCCGCACTGGACAAACAAAGATTAGCT